TATTTCAAGGGCCTCTGTTTTGTTTTGATTTTTCTGTTTTGACCTCGAAATTGATCGAAACAGTGTCGAAACAAAATGGCCAGTGAAATTTTGCACAGCCCTAATGCATATCCTTTCCAGTCTCTTTAATTTCCAGGCCCATCGCATCTCTTTCCCCAGGCTTTTCTAGTAGCCAGCACTAGGATGTGTCCAGTATTTGTGGAGATCTAAGGCTACATATCTATCTTTCTTAAGGGGTAGAGAATGAATACTATGATTGTTTATGAATTATTAATATTTGATAAGGTGCCTAAAGTCTTAGACAGATGCACAATTAATGTATATCTAGATCTAAATAATTATAATAAGGAATGACCCCTAACATTGTTATATCAAATTTATGCTAGTATAATTTCAGTAATGTCAAGATGGTTACACAGGACCATGGACACTGGTATACTGGATCAGTTCCAAAGCCAGTCGAGCATCCTGTCTCTGACAGTGAGCATCCCAGATTCTTCATTGGATAGCATGAGGAATGTGGTAGTAAGCCAAAGGGTGATAATGTGGCATAAACTTGGTATAACAGAGTGAAGATTTGGGTTGAATTCCTGCCAAAAAGAATGAGTTGGTTCAATTAGACCTTTTCTTTCCTAGGAAGTTAAAGAAGCTGTTTAGAAAACTAAAGGATGACAGAACAGAGCCCAAACAGCATGACGCCAACCATTCAAAGCAACCTCAACAGTGGGAACTTGACTACAGCCTTGAACCTTTCACTGGCTTGACTCCAGAATACATGGAAATGAGTAAGACTTCTGATTTTGTAGGTGCTTGTTGTTGGCACCTGTTGTTCTTGTGTCTTATCTTTTTTTAGTTTTTAATGGCTTTTAACAGTAACCATAATTCACTGTAGTGCCAGAGAATCACAAATGTCATATTCTTAGCCTGATAGGAAGAGGAAGATATTAGGGGTATGCAAAGCTTTGGTCGCTGATTCGATTCGGAGAAGATTCCGCCCATTTTGGAGGCCAAATCACGGAATCCAAATTGAATCAGGAGACCAAAAAAACCCCTCTGAATCGATTTGGAAAAGATTCAGAAAAAGATTTGGAGATTTGGCTATTTGGGAAGGCAGTCTTGCAGGGAAACAGAAACTGAGAAGAGGAAAGGGGAGCAGGGGGAGGAAGACTGACATCTATAGCGGGCCAGTGATTGTGAACTTTCCATGAGTCTTCTTCCAATCATAGTGCTCTGGGAGAGGGACGTAGAAACAGCATATAAGCCTCTGTCTGCAGCCTTTCTGTCCCTTTTGTGAGCTGTTTATCTCTGAGCAACAGCATCTGAAAGGTACTACTGGACTGGCTTGGCTTCCTAGTCAGTCTCCTGCTAGTCTGTCTTCTTGGAAAGGATTGGGTACAGTTTTCTAATTACCCTTGCCTAGAATCCTGCTACTTATCCCTATTTAATCCATTTCTTTCAACTTATTCTTCTCCCAAAAACCTCTTATTTGTTCTTTTTATTTTCTCCCACACTTTTAAAAAAGAAGGCTGTGTTTTGCCTGCCTGACAGTGTGTGATCCATCACTGTGCAGGAAAGCACATACATAACACACACTCACATACATATAGTACACAGAAAGAAGAAGAGATACTAGTTACACACACATACAGTAAATAGAGAGAAGTAAAGATATTACAGTTGCACACACACATGCATATTTTCCAGCACAGCAAACATTATGAAGCATGCTAGAAAGGCAGGTGCCAGGTCTTCTGGCAAAAAAGGGGAGAGGCTGGAGGGGGGAGGGGGAGAGCTGCAAGTTCCCCCTCCCCCCCCGCCCAAACATAGACACATCCTCTTTCCTGGCAGCAATGACTCTTCTGCTGCCAGTTGGAGCAAGGAGGGGAGAACAGTACCTTTCCCTGCATGTGCACCACCTCTGCTAACTCCAGAAATAGCCACCAACACCAGCATGACAGTCTCCTCCACCCCAATTTCATCTGCCAGCGTGAGCCTCCTAGTGCCAGAGGAAGAGCTGGATCTGGAAGCAGGGGACCTGAGTGCCCTAGCATAAGAAATTCTGGGGAAGGAGGGGGAATCTGAGTTTGTGTTCTACACCTCTCAGAGTTCCTCTAGAGCCAGCTCTCCTTCTCTGGAAGGCATCTTGGAGGAGGTTGTGGGAGCTGGTGCATCCCTTTGCCCCTGTTTCTTTTCAGCCTGGCACCAGTGAGAGGGTGCCCACAAATAAGTCCCCCTCTTGCTCCAAAGTCCCTGTCCCCATGAAGCAGAGGCAGGCAACCCTGGAGTGATAAGGGAAAGCTGCAGAAAAAGCAGGGGTGTGCATTGCAAGAGCGAGTGAGGTCATTCAGAACATTGGGGAGATACTTGCTCTGGATGGCCAGCCCTTCTCCTTAGTTGGGCGGACAGGGTACAGATGGCTCATGGCACTCGTGGCCATGTGCCAACATGCACCACCTTTAGCAGGACAGTCGTGCCCTCCCTGTATGAGGTATGCAGGGAGTACTGAGGGAAGAGCTGTGCAAGGCAGGTCTGCAAGTAGCTTTGCACTTCACCTTGGACATCTGGAGAAGCCAGGGTGGAGATCATGCCTACCTCTCCCTCACAGGGCACTGGTGCAACCAGTTAGGGCATCAGTGGGCTCTTCTTCAAGCAGAAGTGATGGATGAGTCCCACATGGCAAGGGAGATCATGTGGCCATGAACTGCATGGTGCAGGGGTGGCTTATTGGGCAGGGTGAGCTCACCCATGGATTCATGGTCATTGACAATGGGGCCAATATGGTCAAGGCAGTGCATGATGCCAACTTTGTTGGCATCCGCTGTGTGGCATGTAAGTTCCACCCAGTCAGGGATGCCTTGGAGGGGGACATGGCTTCCAGTGATGATGCAATCACTACCACTGAGCTGATTTCAAAATGCAGGAAGGTGGCGGGCTACTTCCACCACAGCATCAAGAGGTGCAAGATGCTGCGGGACAAATGGGCAGAGCTGAGCGTCCCACAGCACAAAATCATGCAGGATGTGGAGAGTTGGTAGAACTTCACATACCTGATTCTGGAAAGGCTGGTCAAGCAACAGAAGCCCATTCATGAGATGACATTGCTCAAGGAGATTGGGATCAGCGGCCTCATTAACAAAGCGGAGTGGGATACCATCTCCCAGATCTTGGTGGTCCTCAAGCCATTCCTCAAGGCCACCAAGATCCTCAGTGTTGACAATGCCCTCCTTAGCCAGGTGATCCCCATAGTCAAGGAGCTTGAGAACCAAATGGAGAAGTTCCAGGGGATCAATGTTCCTGGCTGGGGAAAGTTGCTTTCACCAGAGGTGCAGGCACTGATGAAGCGGCTGAAGGAGGGCATCAAAAAATGGCTGGATTCATTGCAGTCCAGTACGATCCACATGCTGGCGGTGAAGGGGAGCATGTGCAGCACCAAAACTCTTGAGCACTGGACAGAGGTGCTGGTAAACAGAGTTAGGGAGGCAGAAGGGAAGAGGTAAGGGGATGTGGAAGAGGGGGATCCACTCCCAGCACCAGCCAGTCTCCTCCATGCCTGCCACTGCCAATGTGGACTAGGGGCATGTCTTCAATGTTGGGGTCCAGAGGCACCAGACCCCAGCCTCAGGCAGGTAGCACCGAGGCTTCAGTGGCTACCTATCCGCAGTCAGATGTGGCAGGATCTGGCCATGGTTGCCTACGAACACCTGTCCTGTCCACTGACCAGTGTTCCAAGCAGGAGGGTGTTCAGCATTGCTGGGGATGTTGTGACACCCCAGTGCACCTCCTTGGATCCTCGTTTGGTGGAGCAGCTGGTGTTTCTGAAGGTGAACCTCCTGCTGCTGGGGTTTCCCTACAGATGGAGTGAGTGCCCCCCTCCTCACTTTGTCCGCACCTATTTCCTTTAAAAAAAAAAAAAAATTAATGCCCCACTCTCAGAGCTGGAGGTGGCACTCACTGCATCACCAGCCAGCAGGGGAAGAACATCTTCCTCCTGAGTTCCTGTGCCAGGATGAACTTGGAGGTATGGGCTGGGTCTATGGAAAAGGAGGAGACCCCAGGTCCTGGGCATACCTTAAAACTGCACCCTGCCAGAGTCAGGAGGTCTGGTGGGACTGCTAGTGGTTCATCAGCCCCCAAGAAATGCCAGGATCACAAACCTCCCTGGTGAAAGGCAGGTAGGAGGAGCCTTATAACCTTCAGCCACCACACATGCACAGTCCTGGCTAGGCCTGAGGCTTGCTGGTTGCAGTGGAGCTGTGAGGCTTCAGGTGAGCTTAGCTGCCTGGGATGCCATCTGTGAAGCATAGGCTACAGTGTTAGGGGAGGTATGGAGCTGTGGAATGGATGCGTGTCACCCCTAGGCATCAGGGACCTAAATGGGCAGTCTCCCACCTAGGAAACATCTGAATTGATTTTCCATCAAGGTGTGGCAGGTGAAAGAGGGGCAGGCAGTTGGCCCAGAAACAGGTGGGTAATAAGGAACAGTGGCTGTAAGTTGAACAAGAGTAGATTCAGCCTAGATATCAGGAGGCACTACTTCACTGTCAGGGCGGCTAGGAGCTGGAACCAACTTCCAAGGGAAGTGGTGCTTGCCCCTACCCTGGGGGTCTTCAAAAGGAGGGTAGACAGCCACTTAGCTGGGGTCATTTGACCCCAGCATCCTTTCCTGCCCATGGCAAGGGGTCGGACTAGATGATCTGCTTAGGTCCCTTCCGACCCTACCAACTATGAAACTATGACTCAGGAATGGGTATGAACTTTATTATATAAGGGAAAACTTTATTTGACGCTAGATATCTGCTGTTCCGAATCACAGTGAGCATAGATCACACTAAAGATGATTATTTGATGGTGGTTTACCTTCCGTATTAAGGGAAGAGAGGAGAAAGGAACAAGGTAGAGCAGGTGATACTTGCACCAGAGGGCAGAGGGCTGCTACTTAAGTGCTATGTGCACATGGGGAGAGAGGGAGAGAATCTGTGGAGCCTCCCTGACCACTCTCACTGGGAGATCACAACCAGGAGTCAGCAGCAGTAAGGACAGGTTGAGTCTCAGGAGTAGAGGTTGCTGGGGATGATGGCCAGCTCTATGGCGGCCTCATTGTCACGGGTGTGCTCAGCTTGTTGGACCTCCAAGGTCATGGTGTAGCCCAAGGCACGACACCGCACAATGATCACCCACACCAGTACACTGATACACCACAAAGCCACTTCCACCTTGTTTATTCACCATGCTTCTGTCACACCCACACACACACACACCCACACCCACACACACACTCACTCAACAGACTCAGACAGTGACAAGACCCTCTCGATATCCACACTAACACAGACTGACGAACAGCCAGCCAGTTGCACATGCTCAGAACCCTGCCCCCCCCACACACAACAGTTCCCCACACTAGGCCATATATATATAAATTAAAAATATATATATATTTTTAAAGTACACACGGCCCCACTGGGTTCTGCACAAGGAATGCTTTTGTGTGCTAGGCCGTCTCTTCCAGCATCTTCTGAGCTTAACTGAGCATGCTCCTAAGTAGGAGGTCACCTGAAGTTCAACACACAACCTATGTAGGCTATGCATCTGCGCATACCAGCTGCTCCCCAAACCAGCCAAACAGGTAAGACTAAGTGACAGTGCCATGGACTCAGACTGAATCTTGTCTCCAACAAATCTATTCTTTTGCCTGGTGATGAACTCTTTGGTGGTCTAAAACATTGCTCCAATGAGGCCAAAACTGCTATGGTTACTTCATCTGAAATTATTCCATGGATATCAC